TTCTTTTCGATACTGTTTAGAACGGGTGTGCAACAATTTAACCATTTCCTTAAATGTTTAGCTTGTAACCAATTCTTTACCTATTTATAAACAGTGCTTCATTGAATTCTCTTGTGCATGTATCTTACTTCTCCATGATACAGGTGGAAATGCTGGGTCAGAGGGTCTGAGTATTTTAAGAGCTGTTCATGTATGACTCCTCTTCCAGGAGGCTGCGCCAATTTACTCCACTGCGAGCAGCGCGTGAGAGTGCCTCGCTTCCCACAAACTCACCAGCACTGGGTGTTAGGCTTTTTTTGAATCTTGATCAGTCTGATAAGCAAGACATGTTATCTTCGTGTATTAATTTGCCTTTCTTTGATTATTTGTCAGGTTAGGGATCTTTTCTTACACACTTTTTTTTTTTTTTTGAGAAAGAGTCTTGTCTGTCACCCAGGCTGTAGTGCAGTGGCATGATCTCAGCTCACTGCAACCTCTGCCTCCCAAGTTCAAGCCATTCTCCTGACTCAGCCTCCCAAGTAGCTGGAACTACAGGCATGTGCCACCACCTCCGGCTAATTATTTTACTTATTTTTTGTTTGTTTGAAACAGAGTTTCACTCTTGTTGCCCAGGCTGGAGCGCAATGACCAATCTCAGCTCACCGAAACCTCTGCCTCCCAGATTCAAGCGATTCTCCTGCCTCGGCCTCCCAAGTAGCTGGGATTACAGGCATGTGCCACCACACCTGGCTAATTTTTTGCATTTTTAATAGAGACGGGGGGTCTCTCCATGTGGGTCAAGCTGGTCTCAAACTTGCTACCTCAGGTGATCTGCCTGCCTCGGCCTCCCAAAGTGCTGAGATTATAGGCATGAGCCACTGTGCCTGACTCAAGTTTTGTATTTTCAGTAGAGACAGGGTTTCACCATGTTGGCCAGGCTGGTCTCGAACTCCTGACCTCAAGTGATCCTCCTGCCTCTGCCTCCCAAATCCTGGGATTATAGGCATGAGCCACCATGCTTGGCCACATATGAATCATTTTTACTTCTTCTTTTATGAACTGCCTCTGTCAAATTAGTACTAAATTTTAGATTTGTAAGAGATATCTATATGTACATATAATCACTTTTTTCTGCCATATTATCTAGTGAATACCTTTCCTCTCCCCAGTTTAGAATTTATCTCTTCTAGTTTACTCATTGTAATACTTTGACATAGCAAATATGTAATAGTTGTATGTAAAAATAATAAAAATGTTATTTAATATTTATAATTTAATAATGTAAACATAGCAATTAAAACTTTTTTCTCGTTTTTGTTTTTGGAGTCATATTTAGAAAGATCTTACCCATGCTCAATATTGTATAAGTATTCACCAATATTTTCTTCTGGTAATTAAAAAAATGTCCTCCTAAAAACTTACATCTTTAATCTATCTGGAATTTCCGCATAAGGTAGGGATTTAACTTTATTTTTTCCCAGTGCTTCCCCTGATGTTTCCACATTATTTATTAAACCTTCTATCATTTCCCTATTGAGTTGAAATCTATTGTTTACTGTACTAAATATCCATTGTCTTTGGGTCTATCTTATTGACACATTTGTCTCTTTCTCTATCAGTATCTTCTTGATTTAATTTCTATAGCTTTATAATATGTTTTGTTATCTTACAGGCAAACTTTCTATTAATCCTGTTCAAAAAATTCCTGGTAATTCTAATACATTTGTATTTTCAGGTGAACTTTAGAATTATTTAGGTTGATAATTAAAATTCCACTGATATTTTGTTTGAACTGGTGTTAAATTTGCACATGACTTTGGAGAAGATTGACATTTTAATAGTAACCAATCTTCTCATACTAGAAAAATACTCAGTTTTAGAAAACTTCTCCCCAGTTATTTAAAAGTTTTTCTATATTTCTCAGTAAAGTTTTTTAGTTTTATTCTTATAGATCCTGTACATTTCTGGTTATGTTTTTTTCTAGGCATTTAGTTCCTTTTTTTTTTTTTTTTTTTTTTTGAGCAGGGTCTTGCTCTGTTGCCCAGGCTGGAGTGCAGTGGTGCGATCATGACTTATTGCAGCCTCAACCTCCTGGGCTCAAGAGATCCTCCTACCTCAACCTCCCAAGTAGCTGAGACCACAGGCATGCACCACCATGTGTGGCTAATTTTTAAAAATTTTTTGTAGAGATAGGGTCTCCCTATGTTGCCCAGGCTGGTCTTGAACTCCTGGGTCAAGCTATCCACCTCAGCCTCCCAAAGTGCTGAGATTACAGGTGCAAGCCACTGTGCCTGGCCCACTTAATACTTTTTAATGGCCTTTATAAATGGGATTTTCTGTATTCTATTTTCTAACTGCTTGCTGTTAAAATGTAGAAAACTTATTTATTTCTGCTTTTCTAACTACTAGCCATTTTGCCAAACCCCTTTTTTAGTCTTAATAATTTCTAATATGATTATTTTGGATTTTACAGGCAAATGACATCTTCATCTGAAAGTAATGATGCTTATTTTTCCAATATTGTACTTCCTAGTAGGTAACGGTGTGTCATGAGTATCTGAGCTGGTGGGTTACAGTCTGTGGTCCTAGAACCAGCAAAACCTCCTGTGTGGCCGAGGACCACCCTCTACACCCAGGGTAGCCATAACCAGCAGAGGACAGCAGCTCCCCGTTAGCCACAGTTTCACTTTCTGTGGTTTCAGTTACCCATGGCCAACTGTGGTCCAAAAATAGTAAATGGAAAATTCCAGAAATAAACAATTCCTTCGTTTTATTTATTTATTTATTTTTTGATGGAGTCTCGCTCTGTTGCCCAGGCTGGAGTGCAGTGGCACAATCTTGGCTCACTGCAACCTCTGTCTCCCAGGTTCAAGCAATTCTCTTGCCTCAGCCTTCTGAGTAGCTGGATTACAGGGGTGCACCACCATGCCAGGCTAATTTTTGTATTTTTGGTAGAGACAGGGTTTCATCATATTGGCCAGGCTGGTCTTGAACTCCTGGTCTGAGGTGATCTGTCTGCCTTGGCCTTCCAAAGTGCTGGGATTACAGGTGTGAGCCACTGTACCTGGCCAAATTCCTGTTTTAAAGTTTGCAATGTTCTGAGTTGCATAATGAAACTTTGTGCCATTCTGCTCTGTTCCCCTGGGGATATGAATTATCTCTTGGTCCAGCAGATTCCCACGGCCTCTGTGACCTGCCTCCGCTACCTGGCCACTAGTCACTTAGCAGCTTTCTCAGTTATCCGTCAGATCAACGTAGTGGTTTCACAATGCTTGTGTTTAAGTCACACTTATTTTACTTAATAATGGCCCCCAAGTGCAAGTGTACTGTGCGTGACTTGTAAATTAAACTTTATCACAAGTATGTATGTACAGGAAAAAAATAGTACAAATAGGATTTGGAACTATCTGAGGTTTCAGGCACCCACTGGGGGGCTTGGACTTTATCCTCCAAGGATAAGGGGGGACTGCCGTACGTAAATGTGTTTGTGTCATGAAGACAAAAGGAGGAGGACAGTGGGTTGGCATCCCCAGGGCAACGCTGTGTCACGCAGGCATCCTCACCAGCAGCTGGATCTGGTTCATATACCTGCCACAATGCTCACTTTTTTTTTTTTTGAGTCAAAGTTTCCCTCTCGTTTCCCAGACTGGATTGCAGTGGTGCAATCTCAGTTCATTGCAGCCTCCTCCTCCTGGGTTCAAGTGATTCTCCTGCCTCAGCTTCACGAATAGCTGGGACAACAAGTGTGCATCGCTATGCCCAGCTAGTTTTTGTAATTTTAGTAGGGATGAAGTTTCACCATGTTGGCCAGACTGGTCTCGAACTCCTGACCTCAAGTGATCCACCTGCCTCAGCCTCCCAAAGTGTTGGGATTACAGGCATGAACCCGGCCAGTGTTCACTCTTAAGTACAAAGTCTGCATAATATTTAAATTGAGAATGGGCATTAAGCAAGATGGATAATATAAACAGATTTTCCTCATCTGAACCTGTATTCCTAGAACGGTATATTATTTAATGTTTTGTTTCTTTTTCTTTAAAGATAGGGTCTCACTCTGTCATCCAGGCTGAAGTGCAATGGCACAGCTCACTACAGCCTTGACTTCCTGGGCTCAATCAATCTTCCCACCTAAGCTTCCCAGGTGCACATCCTTATGCCTGGCTAATTTTTGTATTTTTTGTAAAGACGGGATTTTGCCATGCAGCCCAGGCTGGTCTTGAACTTGTGGACTCAAGCAATCTGCCTGCCTCAGCCTCTCAAAGTGCTGGGATTACAGGCACGAGCCACTGTACCCAACAAATATTTTTAATGTTTTGCTAGTCTCTCTTTGATAGCATTTGATTTTGTGTTTCCTCATCACTGCTTATAGATGAGATTAGTCGTCTGTGTAGTTTATAAAGCTGTCTTTGTTGGGTTATGGGGTTAGATTTGTACTAAACTCACACAATTGTAAGTGAAACCTCTCATCTTTGAAAAAGTATAAATCACATGTACATTATTCTTTGAAAGAACTGATAGAACCCTCTGGGGCTGGTGACATTTTAGGATCATCTTTTAAAAACTTTTGACTATGCGACGTGCCTTCAACATTTTCTCATTGATCGATCACAGGACAAATTGCAACTTCTCTATCATGACATTAAAGGTGCAGCATGATTTACTCTGCTTCAGCTCTTACTATTCTTTACCTCTCTTTTGCTACCCTAGCCACCCCTAGCTTCTGGAAGTTCCTCAACTGTAGAGTGGGAGAGCCACAAGAGCAGGGACCATGTTTGTTTTGTTTGGGATGAAATCTCTGGCACCCTGCAGAAGCTTACCTTTGACAAGTATTCTCTGAGTTTTTGTGGAAGGACATTCACTCTGTTAATATCACTGTATCTTTTAGTTCATGTTGTCAACACATATTCTCTGAGCCCCTCCCCTCCCCTCCCCTCCCCTCCCCTCCCCTTCCCTTCCCTTTCCTTCCCACGGTGCTCAAGGGCATAGAAGATAGGAAAATGAAGGAAATGTATAGGAATGGATGAGTTTGAAGTGTTTATTACCTTTTATTTGAATATCATTTATTTACATTTACATAATTTAAATGTTTAACAAAGTCTGCCTTTAACAACCAGCTCGTAACATTAATTCTTGAAAATTTAACAAGCAGCTCTTGCAAGCTGATACAGACCGATTCCTGCATGCCACTGCTACAATCTCATGATACAGATGCAGTCATCGGGGAGGGGAAGGGAGGTCACCTGGATGGTAAGTGATAGGACTGGGTGTCCTTGAGCAAGCAAAGTTCTGTCCCTGAGCATTAGGTTCCTCATCTGTGAAATGGGGACAATAAAACGTTCCTTCTGGGTGCTGTCGAGGTTTAATAAGCTGATGCTTACAAAGCAACTGGCATATAGTAAATGCTTCATAAGTGGGGACGTGACCACTTGTGTGTTATTTTTACTTTTATCTTTATTTTTTGAGACAGAGTCTCATTGTGTAGCCCAGGCTGCAGTATAGTGGTGCAATCTCAGCTACTGTAATCTCTGCCTCCCGGGATCAAGTGATTCTCCTGCCTCAGCCTCCTGAGTAGCTGGGATTACAGGTGCCCACCACCACACCTGGCTAATTTTTGTATTTTTAGTAGAGACAGGGTTTCACCATGTTGGCCAGGCTGGTCTCGAACTCCTGACCTCAAGTGATCCGACTGCCTCAGCCTCCCAATGTGCTGGGATTACAGGCATGGGCCACTGTGCCTGGCTGTGTTATTGTTTTTTTTAATACTCATAACAAACTTGGATCCTGCCCTCGAGGTATTCATGGTCTAGTGGAAGGAGAGCGCAAAGATAAGACACACACTCATTCGTAGGATTCCAATCCAGGCAGAAAAGGAAGGCTTCCTGGAGGAGGATGCATTGGAATTGGGCCTTTTGGGTTTGGGAGAGGGTGGGTTCACATGGGTGAGGGTGAAGCATTGCTGGCTGTTGGCCCACAACAAGGAGAGGAGGGAGGCAGGGATGCATCTGCTACCAGGACCAGGTGAGAGTGAGAGGAGGCTGGAGCCTATGAGAAGAATGCTGGGCAGAGGCAGTCTGCATTTTCTTCTGAGGGCAGTGGGGAGCCACAGTGGGCTGTTGAGCAGGGTGTAATGGGGTTGGACGGGTCTCTTGGAACATCAGTGTGACTGCAGAGAGAAGGAGGACCAGGAGGGGGCCACAGTCGTGGTGGCAGAGGCTGTTCCAGGGATGTTGGGATGGAAGCCCACCCATCTGGGCTCCTTCAGTGGCCTGCGTAGTGCTGGGGTGTCCCTGACCCCTCCCCTCCTGTACCTAGAGAAGGCGGCAGGTCTCCTCCCCCGATACTCCGGCCCCAGCCCCATAGCTAATCCTGGTGACACCCGGTCCTGAGGCTGGGGCGGGGTGGCTGGGCAGCTGGCCTCAATTAGCTGGGAGCCGGGTCTGGACAGTGTCATTAGGAGAAAACCAGAGCCTGCCCATAAACTCTAATGAATGCATTAATGGAAGGCTTGTGCGCCTCAAAGGGGAAAAAAAAAGCAAGTCTAAATAAAGTTATTAACACAGCCCACCTGTGTTCGGCTCTCGGCCTATATTGTTCAAATAGCCCATTAACTCCTGAAGCATCCAATCTTGAAAGTGAGCCCTGCCTCTCTGAAGCAGACGTTTAACTGCGTTCATATAATTCAATTAGATTCCGCAGTTGTGGTCCAAAGGCATTCTCCCGGCTTTCATCTCAGTAATGGCCTGCAGGCTGGAGCGGAACACGGGGGGTTAAAAAGTGGGGCTCGGAACCTGCCTTTTGGCCTGACTCACTCCATCACCCAGAGGGCCCTCCAAATGAGTTTCCTGGGGCAGTGCCTTTCTCACTGGAGCAAGCACGCTCAAGGATGGGCTTCCGGGCCTGGGACTCTCACTCGGAGCCGTCTCATGCGCTCTCAATCCAGCATGGGGTGGGGTTTGGGGGGGCTCACACCCCTTCTCCTTCTCCATACCCGCTTGTCCAATGGCGCAGCATACCACGGACCCCGACTCCACTCAGCCAACCCCATTAATAAAGAGTTAAGAAAATTCATTAGGAAGTTGGTCTTTTATAGATTCCATGAAAGCCTTCTTCCTACTTCTGTCACTGAGAAAGGATAAAAATCCTTTTATCACTCTACAACTTGTTAATGTCCCGCCCCGGGAGCACTTCATCTGTAATAAACATCTTCACAAAATATGCATCCCCAGGGAGGAGCCGTTAATTTCCTCAAGGCCTCACACATGTAAGGGATTTTATTGCCTGCAGGTGCTTCATGATATTGTGTGAGCTTCTAATAAACGTCCAGTAAACCGCAGGTAGCGCCTCGGAGAGAGATGGGCCCGTGCACCTGTCCACATAGAGCCTCCACGCACCGCGCCTTCACCTTCTGCGGCCCAGCCCTGGCGTGCTCAGCTCCAGAGCCCAGCCTGCCCCTCGGGATGCCCGCAGGTAAGGTCTGACTCTGATGCCTTGACCCACTTACGCAGCCTGGGGGACCTGAAGGAGCCTGGGGGAGCCTGGGGCTTACTGCTGTTTGAGGCTGGAAAATCCCACCCTCAAACCTACACACCTTGGCGGGAATTGCAGACAGAAGTCAAGACGTTCTCTTTTTGTGTTTCTTGGTTTTCTTTTCTTGTTCGTTTTGGGAGAGTGACCCCTTTGACAATCTGCTGTGGAAATGTGATTATCGACAAATTTAACTTCCTATTTTCTTAATAACTGAGATAGAGGGAGAAGGGAACTTGCCTCTCAAGTGAGATTCATTCAAAACGCGCTTTGTGTATCTTAAGGGCAATTTTCGGGAATGTTAAAAATGATTGCTAGGAAAATACACTGTAGCTCAGTCACTAGAAAAAAAAAACGAGAAAGGAGTAATGAAGTTTGCATTTAGTACAAATCTTTCTCCTCTTCGGGATTCTTTCCAATTTCTATCACCAAGTGGACTGTGAGGTGCTGGGGGTCTGCGGGCAGATGTACTTTGTGGCAGGGGAAGTCGTGGATGCCACCAAGGGTTCATCCCTAACCCCGTGAGCTGCAGAGCAAGACTTGGGGTTTGGGGATTCATGGAGGCCTGTGGGGAGGAGGATGGGGGGATGGCCCAGGTCAGAGGCAGGGGACCAACAAAATGGCCTCTCCAGCTCTTTCCAGAATGAGGTGCCTCTGAGAACTAGGGGGTGGGACGGGGTGATCACTTTAAATCAAAGACAGCTTATGCTGTCTTTGGACAGGCAACAACTGGCGTTTCTGGGACACCTTCACGGTGGTGGGTCTCTGAGGGACGTGACCTGAGGCCTGCGTGGTGGCTGGAGCTTCTGTGAGCTTGATTTTCATTCAAGTCTATAAATGCTGGGTGTGCCGGTTCAGCTCACCAGGCCTTGTCTGTAGGTACCCATATCGGCTTGGGACACACACACCCCACTCACGGGGTGGCACAAAGCAACCCAAGCCAGGGAGAGAAGGGAGAAGGCCACTGGATTCAGCCCTCCTGTGGCCCTGTGGCTGGCAGAGACATCTCACTGGGGCCTTGGAAGCTTCTGGGAAGAGGAGATCCCCAAGTGGATTTTGGAAGTGTTGAGGAGGAAGGGCTGACTGGGCCATGTTTACAGGCCCCCTCCTTCTCCAGGCAGGAGCAGGCGGCCGCAGAATCCAACAGGTTCAGAATCCAGGGACTCTAGGGTCGAGTAAAGCCGGACAGCTGAGTCCCGGGGCGTGCACATACCTGGCCTGGGATGACTAAGGATAATACAGCGATACTGTCACTGAAAATACGAGTCCCGCACAGCTCTCGCTGTGGGTCAGGGCCCGGCTCATTAGGACTTTATCTCTGGAATCTTCCTAACTACCCCTTTATAGGTGAAAAAGCTGGGGTTCGAGAAGTGAGACCGTTTGGCCCAGGTCATCCAATGGGGGAAGAGAAGTTCAGGGTGGCCTGGAACAGAGGCAGGGGCTCTACCTGTGTCACTGCATGGCACCCTCTTACCAAAGACTGGAGAAAGGGCATAAGTCCCCATTTTCCAGAAGACAAGCTCAGGCTCCCCTGCAGTAGGAAGAACCTGGCACAGCTGTGACATCTGCCTCCTTCCCTAGACAGGGCTGCACCCCCTCCCCTGCTTCTCTGGGCTGGGAGGGGAGAGGGTCATTCACCCTCTGCCCCGGCCCTGGCTGGCCTGCCTGGCCTGGCCCAACAGAAGCTGCAGGAGGGCCAGGGAGCCTGGAGTGGCTTCAGAGGCACGACGGACATGATGAAAGCCCTGGAGCACGGGACCCAGCCGAAAGGTTAGAGGAAGCAGGATTATTCTGCCCAGGGAGCGGAAGGCCCAGGGGGCAAGGCCCTGGCTAATGGAGAGGACCAGATGCTGACCAGCTGTTCCCTGTCTCCCTGGAGGCCCTGCAGCACCAAAAAGGCTGCTGTTACAGCAGGAGGGAGCTGAGGAGGATAGGAAAAAGAACTGACTGAATGAAGGAGGGTTGCAGCTGAGACGGTGGGAGAACCATCTTCTGAGGAGCTTAAGAAGCAGGATGGCAGCCCCTAACTGCGTTTTGGCCAGGAGGGCGATACCAGCACCTGGGGCAGGATGCATTTTGTGTGCAGCAGGAATGGGGGCACTCCCTGGAGAAGTGGTATTCTCCTCTGCGAACATGATCTGAATTAAGCCCTGTGCCCACCCAGCCCTCCCTGCCTTGTGGAGCATGGGCTGGGCCACCCCAGAACGGCCGTCCATCCATCCTAGGTCTCATAGGAGCCTCTAAGGCCATTTCCCCAAGCTCAGTGCAGGAGGTGAGAGGTCTGGGAAACCCCATGTCTCAGGGCCATGGACCCCAGCTGGCTGGGGAGAGCCAGGCCCACAAGTCCCGACTTTGAGCAGCCAAAGTGCCTAAAAAATTCATCCTCTATCCCCAGTTATCAGAACGCACAGTAGTAAACAGTAAAACAAACATCAAGGAAACCTACAAAGTCCTGATTCTCCCCACAGAGAACAGTTTGGTGCTTAAAAAAAAATCCAACTGAAATTTCTCAGTGTCTGTGTCTGTGTGCTTGTTGGGTGACCCAGCCGGGCACGTCCTCCCCCGGAGCCTCAGCTTCCTTATCATAAAGCAGGGATGGGGTCACTAACCTGGGGGCTTGCAAAGAGAGGAGTCCAGAAGGACTCACGCAGGGCTGGCAGAGCTGGGTGGCTTCCTTCCCTTTGGCAGGCCTCAGACCTCACCAAACCCTCAGTTCACAGATGGGAAAATGGGGGCTCAGAGAGAAGATGGGACGAGTCTATCACACAGCAAGCTGATGGCTGGACAGGTAGTGTTCCCAGCCCAGCACAAAGCACTCTTTTCTTCATGGACTCAATTTTGCTTTTAGGTGGGAAAACTGGGATGTCCCTGTTCGGCCTGCTGGACCCTATTTGGAACCCAATACTAGGGTTGCCAGATAGCATACAGGATGCACCAGGGCAGATGAATTTCATGTGAACCAGGAATACGTTTTTAGTATAAATAAGTCCCATGCAACCTTTGGGGTATACTTATGCTTAAAAAAAGTTATTCCTGGCTGGGCATGGTGGTTACACTACTGTGATCGCAGCACTTTGGGAGGCCGAGGCAGATGGATCACCTGAGGTCAGGAGTTTGAGATCAGCCTGGTCAAAATGGTGAAACCCTATCTCTACTAAAAATGCAAAAATTAGTGGGGTGTGGTGGCAAGTGCCTGTAATCCCAGCTATTTGGGAGGCTGAAGCAGGAGAATCACTTGACTCCAGGAGCCGAGATTCTGCTACTGCACTCCTGCCTGGGCAACAGAGCGAGGCTCCATCTCAAAAAAAAAAAAAAAAAATTATTCCTGGTTCATCGGAAATTCAAATTTAATGGGACATCCTGTATTGCTATTTGCTAAATCTGGCAATCCCCAGGGTCCCAGCAGGGCTGCCCCATCTCCTCACAGGGAGAACCTTCCAGGCCCCTTCTCTGGCAGCAGAAACCCAGGTTAAAGCTACTTGCTCTCAGCTCATGCAGACATCAAAAAGCCATCACCAGCCCTTTTCTGCGGCAAAGAGCAGAAAATGCGTTTCCTTGTGATTTTTTTCTTTCAATATATATTTTTGGAGGGGACTTGGAATGGGGGGTGGAGTTCCTCAGAAGGGGCATTATTTATTAGGGAAATGCGGTGTTTTCAAGTTTCTCTTTGTAGAGAACGTAGCAGTGCCGGTGTAAGCCTCTGTGATCTCCCGTTTCTCTGGGAGGATACGGAAAACAGCTGGCGTTATAAGGGAAGCTTTTCCTTCTGATGCCTCTGGGACCTCATTGCCTCAATTTAAAACTTGTAGGACACTGGTGAATTTTTAAGGGTTAAAATGGAAGGACAGAATAAGACAAAATATCAAAGAAATTTCCTGGAGCGGCCTTGGGAATGTGGTTCCCTGTATCAATAGTATTTCATTTTTCAAATTGTTGAGAGCTTTTTCAAAAATTTATTTCCAAGAAAGTCATGGTATTTACATTTAATGAGATTCAGAAAGGTTTTTCTTGTTCTTTCTTTCTCTTTCCCTCTTTCTTTCTTACGCTAAGACAAAGATTTTGAAGACAAATTGTTTGAACGAAGCAATTGGGAAAAAATATTTGCAGAGTCGAAAAAGATCGACAGAACATGAAGGAAGGAGATGTGAAAAGTGAATAAAATCACATTAGAAAAGGCTTAATATTTTCACATTGGACCTGCCTCAGCCTGCTATTCTAACCCCATTTAGTTTCAAAACGCCATGACTATCAGTGTGCAGATGGGTGGGCTTTTTAAAAAAATGCCATAACTACAACTTCAAATCTGGACCACTTTTTCTCACTTTCCTCAAATGTTTGATGGCTTTTTTGTTCTTTAAACATCTTCCCGGACCAGGAGAAATATTCTTCTGTGGGAAAATAATGTAGTCAACATATTTTTTTCCAGAATGGTCTTCAAAGGAATTCAGGCTTTGCTTTTAAAATGGTTTGCAAAGGCCAAATCCAAGGCCCAACTGACACCAGAATCAGAGCGGGAGGAGTTTCCCAAGGTTACCAAGTCTGAACCGATGAGGAGAGTCCAAATCACTGAGTGCAGAGTGGGGCTGGAACCGAAGGGGCTAAAATCCTAAACCTGCACCCCATTTCTATCTCCCATCCATCCTCTTCCCTCTCTGAGCACAGACCCAAGATCGAAATCTCAGCCTCCAGCCTGGAGCCGGGAGGTGCGGCTTGATGTCAATTACAGTCCAATTCCAGAGGTGCCATCAAAGAGTTAACTAGGATGTCCCAGTGCGCAAATGTGGGATAATTGGGAAACAAATTCTACAAACATCTTGAAAGGGGCAAAAGACCTTTGATCTTTCTATAGAAAGGGAGACATTACAATGCTGTCTGCCTTCGGGGCCTGCACACATCTCATACCAGGTTAGAGGATGGCATCTTTCTGAGAAATCAGCCGACACCTAGTTCCATCGCACCTTAATTATCCTAACTGGTTTCGCATGGTCAAAGGCATTTTCTCCAAAGATTAGAGGAGAAAGAGGGACTGACAAAATAATTAAATATGCAATTTGCCAAGCGTGGGCAATATGGCTTTGAAATCACCTTTTCAGGAAGTTTTACCGCTTGTTCATTGACATGTATATTGCGGGCTTCAGACTTTTATTTAAGCTCTTTTGATTGCCTTAATGGATTAATACCCGAGTACCATCAGCGAGAGGTAGAGACCCAAGGCTGTTTCTAATTTCAAAAATATTGCGCCGTTTCCTCCAGTGTTATGACAAAAACAAGTATGTAGAATTTGCCTTCTCTCTTAAAGGAACAGGCCGATCCCCTCCAATAACTGTCTGATGTAAGAATCTGCATCTCACACGTGGTGGTGTCTGTTCTAGGAATGTTTCGTGGTGCCAAGGGCCAGGGTGCTGGCAGTGTGGGCAGGCCCGGGCAGGCCTGCTTTGCATGCATCTGGGGCATGGATTGGTTTGGGGTAGCATCGCCGAGATGAGTCCATGTCTCTGGACAGTAGAATGCCTCTCAGTTTAAGGCCCTGGCAGCGTCCAGGGTGTGGAGGAATGGAGGAATGTGTTACTGCCTTGCTTGTAACTCCTGCGGTGGGTAAGAAACGTTCCACAGGGTTGGGGGTTGGGGGAGGCTGCTAGTCGGGATTTGGAGAAGAATCTCCACTCAGACCCTGTTGCATCCAACAGAGGCATCCGGAAACCAGAGTTTGCTGTGGGGGAATAGTTTGCATTCTGTCCTCAGGATGGGGAGAATTAGAGTTCAGAGGAAGGAATCAGTAGCAGTGATTGCGCCATTCCCATCTTTTGGCTAAGCTGAGTGTCTGGTGTCGGGGGGCACTGTCTGGGGCCTCCTCTGAGGACACGAGGGTGGGGTCTCCTGGGGCAGGTTTTTTCTGGTCTGGGACATGTGTGGGTACCCACTGGGCAGAATAGGGATCATCTCAAACGTGCAAAGTGCGTGGGTGCCAGGAGGGGTTAAAGGATGGATGGAAAGAAGACAGAACAGAAAGATGGGGAGACCCAAAAAGAAATACAAAGAGGAGGAAGAGAGACCCAGGGAGAGACTGTCATACCCTCTCACGTGCGCAGACGCGCGCAGAGACAGCAAGATTGCCTTTGAAGGTGGAGGGACAAGGTCTAATTGTCTCAGGGATGTGCACAGCGGCCTGGCTTTTCATCATTCCCAGAACTCTCTAATGAGGCTGTGGCCTCTCCTGGTGGGAACTTTGCTCCCTGAAATCAGCTTTGATAAAGCGGACACACCGTCTGGGACGAGTTACTGGGTTTTCCTCTTTTCCTTTGAACCCTGAGGTGGTTTTTCTCTTTCATGGCAAACAGAGCAGGGACAAAGTCGCTGGCCTCTGTCCTCGGGTGGTACAGGCCAGCCCACCTCCTGGGGCACCCAGGCATGTGGGGCAGGGAGATGGCAGGCCCTGGTGGGGGTGTCACTGGCCCAGGACACTTTGCGGGACTCAACATCCTGACCCACTTGCCAATCACGCAGTTTCTGCGGTCCCCCGGGGGAAGCATCACCTTAAATGTATTTCAGCGAATCGCAGCAGCCAGGAGGTCCCTCACATCACGAGCACATGCAGGCTAACAGCACTGATGACAGGAACTCTGGCTGCCCACAGGCCACTCACTACACACCAGGCTCTGAGCCAAGTATTTGACACATGCTATTCATGGCAGTAGCACCCGTGTGCCCCTTTTCCAGAAGAGCAAACAGAGGCTCCGAGAACTAGGTGACTCACTGCTCAGAGGCAAAATGGGACAGAATCTGTCATCCCTGGGTCCTTCTCTCAACCACTGTCCTTCCTGAAGGTGGGGAGCCTTAGTTGGCCCCCAGAACACAGTGGTTTTCTAGCTGCACCATCCCTCTCTCGTTTCTCTTACCCATGACTGAGTTTTCTGTGCAGTCACAGCCATAACATCAGCAAGACCTCAGGCTCTGAGGTCTCTGGACACCCATCCCTGCTTCCTCCTCTAAGCCCTGGGAGAATGGAGTGTCCAGAGACCTCCCTGAGCCCTGGCTGCCCTGGGGGACCTCTCTGGAAGGAACGGGGGTTTGGAGTCAGCCACTCTGGGGCAGGAGGAGAGGAAAGGGCCTGGCTACCCCAGGAGGATCACCAGCCGGTGGGTCTTGTCTTTGATCTCCGATGATTAAGACAAACACCCTCTCTGGTGCTTCTTCCTGGGCTGGGAGGCCTCCTTCCCAGCTGGCAGACACTGAGCGGCCAAGGGAGAGGCTGCCTGGTCCCAGTCCCGGGGTCCTCACTTGGAAGGTGTCCTGGGGTCAAAGGCAGCTGCAGAACAGCCTGGCCCTGGCCCGCCTCCATCTCTGACTCCAGTTGCCTTCCTCCTGCCCTGATCCCAGCTTCGGCTCTTGAGGCTTTTCCTCCAGTCTCCTCAGCCTCCTCCTGGCTTCGGTCTGTTCACCCCACAGCTGCAGCTGCCCAGGTCAGTCGGCGGGGGTGGCCAGGGTCCCACTCATTGCGGGCCGTTCACCTCTTATCCTTGCAGGCTGGCAGGCTGTGGGGAATGACCTGAAATGTGTTCTAATTTGTGAAAGAGAGAACGCTGGCTGTAAGCCACTGTGTGCCAAGCCCTAGATTGGCACTGGGGAGACAGCAAGAGTGAAAGAGACGGGTCCTGTGTTCATGGAGGGGCTTCTGTTTTTTTTGTTTTTTTTTTTTTTAAGACAGAGTCTCGCTCTGTCCAGGCTGGAGTGTAGTGGTGTAGTCTCAGCTCACTGAAACCTCCGCCTCTCAGACTCAAGTGATTCTTCTGCCTCCGCTTCCTGAGTAGCTGGGACTACAGGCACATGCCAAAATAGTAGAGACGGGATTTCACCATATTGGTCAGGCTGGTATCAAACTTCTGACCTCCAGTGATCCACCCACCTTGGCCTCCGAAAGTCCTGGGATTACAGGCATGAGCCACTATGCCCGGCCGGTTTCTGGTTCTGATGAGCAATGGGTTCTGTGCCACACACTTCACAGCTATTTGGGAGCATAGCTCCCAGAGCATAGCTAGGCCATAAGGAGAGAGAGCTGGGGACAGCCCTCCTGTTTGTCTCTGGGTCCCTGGGGATGGCGTGTGGTGGGGAAGCCACCCTGGGGCAGCTTCCTGCTCCTGTCCTAAAGAGCTGCTTCAGCAGCTGGGGGCTGAGCCACACACCTCTGCTGGGAGGTAGGAAGTTGCATATTCCTGCCTATGAACCCAGCAGAACATTCTTTCAACGTCCTGCCATTGATGTAGCCTCTTGTTTGGACTTCCTGGTCGCTTCATGATGACAGGGTGCAGAGGGAGAGGGGTGATCACAGGATGGGCACGATGAGGGTGAGGGATTTTTCTTCCCAAATTTTTATGATAAAAATATCCAGACATATAGAAGAGTTGAGGGAAGAATACAAGGAACACTCTCAGACCCCCTCCCGAGCCAACACACATAACTACATAACTACATAGATGTGTAGACACATCTCTGGAGCTATGTATTTTTTGCTGTAAGTAAAAATACTTTTTTTTGAAAGTAAGTTTCAGGTGTCCCTAAATACTTCCGTGTGCATTTCTAAGAATAAGGACCTTCTCTTACACACAACACCATTATCATCTGAAGAAAATGAACAGTGATTGGAGATTGAGGGATTTTGAGAATTTGTCGAGGCGTCAGTTTTGGGATCTTTGGTAGATCAGGAGGTGCTGTGTTGTGTTACTGTTAGCAAAGCTTCCTTTGAGCTTGGTCCCCCTGTGGGGCAGCTGGAGGACGATGGAATGACACTTCCATTCCAAAGTTTGAGATCTCTAGGAAAGCAGAGCGCCCTGCTAGTATACAGTAGGTGCTCGGGGTGTGCAGAGGAAACACGTACCAGGCCAGATGCTGCCCCTGGGACCCCATTCATGCTCCTGGGCATAGAGGGTCCTGTTTTTCCAGCTTGGCCCCATCCTCACAAATGTTCTGTCTTTCACAAGTTAGAACACATTTTGCTCACTACTGTTTGCTAGGCTTACAGGCAGATTGAATCTGGGCTCAAATCTCTGTGAGACCTGGGCTGACTGGTGTTCCCCTCACCAAGTCCTCAGTTCCCCTTGGGGCCATGGAAGCTAAGCTTGGACTGGGAGCTATGGGGCCTGCGAGGTGCTGAGCACCCTTTCCTTTTCCCCTCCCCTCTGGGGAGGGGACCTGGATACAGGGATGGGGAGGGGTTCAAGTGCCAAAATATCCCCCTCCACCCAGGGCTGAGATGGGTCCCTGGGACCCTCCAGCTATGATGTCCCCAAGAGTCTCCAAAGTTTCCCACAACCCCGTCTAATGGGGGGTGTGCATAGGGTGTGCCCAGGCGAGAGCCGCAGATGGAGGTTGTGGGGTGACTGCATTTATCTGTGGGTGTAACTGAGGATCCCACAGGTCCAAAAGGGTGGTCCTCATGTGTGCATGAGAGACTGGAGGGGGCGGGGGTGCATTTAGGCGCATGTACAGTTGTCTTAAGATGCCGATCTGGGTCTGTTCTCATGTCGGAATGCGGGTCTGTGCTCTGTGTAGCGTTAGAAATAGGGCTTTGGGAACAGAACATTATTCAGCCTTAAAAAGGGGTGAAATTCAAACATGTGCTATAACATGGTGAACCTGGAGGATGTTACACTCAGTGAAAGGAGCCGGTCACAAAAAGACAATGCAGAATGAATCCAGTTATATGAGGTATCCAGAGAAATCAAGTTCATGAGCAGACAATGGAATGGAGATTGCCCAGGGCTGGGGAGGGAGGAGTGGGGAGTTCTTATTTAGTGGGGACAGAGTTTCAGTTTTTGCAAGAGGCAGTAAGTTCTAGAAATGAATGGGGTGATGATTGCGTAACACCGTGAAGGTACTTAAGCCACAAACTGTACATTTAAATATGGTTAAGCGGGTGAATTTTGCATGATCTGTGTTTTACCACAGTTAGAAAAAAAAAAACAAACCAGAGTTCTGGTGCCTGTGACTGGCTGCCTCATACAGTTTCCTGTTTCTGAATGACGTGACACCCACCCCTGTCCCTGGGTGATGTGCTTGCTCACTGCCATTTACTAGGAAAGCTAGAATATTGTCACTAGGAGTGAATATTGTCAATCAGAGGAAATCTAACAGAGCCAGAGGGAGGCTCTGAGGATCACACAAGCCTCAAACCCAAGACCCGTTTCTGGAAATGCTACTGGTTTGTAGCAAGTCTCACCAGCCAGGAATGACACAGAGGCATTTTGTCAAAGGAAAGAACTTGATGAGAAATTGTTTTATGAAAGCCAAATTTTGGCATGTTTCACGTTTTAGTTTGTCAGAACACAGAGTCATAAATGTTAAACATGTAGTTATTGTTATGCACGATTGATTTCTTCATGATGACGATTTTATTTCAAGTTTGTCCTAAGTCACTGCAGGATTCCAGAAGAGAACGGGAGAGACGTTTTACAGTTTATACCAGCAGGACCATTGGGAGAGCAGTTTTTATTAACGCAAAAAAAAAAAAAAAAAAAAAAAAAAGAGAGAGAGAAAAGGGGTGGCCCAGGCCCCTGACCCCCTCCCACGGTTGGGTCAGGGGTTAGGGTGGCAGCCAGGGCTGTCGTCAGGTCCCTGGTTATGAAGCTCGTGCTGCTGGCAGCGGTGGGATCTGTTAGGGCTGCAGGGCTGGGCTGGTGGGAGCAAACCGGCTCTGCTCGCTGCAGTCTTTGCTTCTGCGGCTGACGTCTGGTGGCTGGTTTGTGGTTGTGAACCTGGGGAACCTCGGACGAGGATTGGGAGCGGCACCTATGCCATGTGGAAGGCCCCAGCTGGCGCCCGTAGGACGGGGACCGGGTGCATGAGTTTCCTCTTCTAACTTCTTGTCTCCACCATCAGGGGTTGTGTTCTAAACCCTGGTGGGCTGACGGTGGCGGGACCCAGGACAGCACTAGGAGCCTTCACACATCTGGCCCCGTTGCCTCCAGGCAGGTCAGGGCAACTCGCCTCTGAAAGTCTGTTTCCTCAGCTGTAAAATGAATCTCTGTGTCCACCCCTCAGGCCATTTCCTGGGCGCTCAGACTAGGCTGGGTGTTTCGGAGATGATGCTCCACCTAGCTCTATGTCCAATTCCAAATCCCATTTTCAGATGCAGAACTGGACCAGAGAGGGGGAGCCACTTTAGCCAAAGTGCCCAGCAGTGGGGGCAGTGAGGCTGGGCGAGGGTTCCGACTCTGTCTGCTCAGGATCTGCATAGGAAATCACCCAGGCTGGCTCCAGTGGGAGCTCTGGCTCCTGGACTGAGGAGGAGGAGCATGCTTCTGGGGACGTGGGGAGCCAAGCGCTGAGCAGAGCTCAAGGGTCCTGGTCCAATAGGGGCAACTGTTCTTGAGTCCCAGAGGGTCTCCCCACGGATGGGACAAGGGGTCTCAGGCTCCTGGGTCTTTGCTTTTGGCTGAAGTTCGGGCAGCTGATGATGGGGCTATGTGCACCCCACACTGGGTGTGCTGAGTGGTGAACCCTGTTGTTTGTATGGGAGGGTCCTCTTTGGTGGGTTCTGAGCTGGGATGCAGGGGGCAGGGGTCAGGTTCACGGAGCTCTCCCAGGGACAGAGGCATGGGCCTGCTGCTGTTCAAAGGAACTTCCATGCAGATTCGGAGAGGGCACAGAGAGGCTGTGGCACTGATCTAGTGTCGCACAGCATGTGGGCAGAGGGGCCACATGCCCAGCCCTTCCTGAGGCCTTTGAGGGGTCATCAGAAATCTGAGGCTAAGATTGGGGGGAAGCATCTCACAGTCCACTTAATACTCCCACCTCTTTGGCGTCCTGTGGTGCACAAAGGGGCTTGGAGGAAGGACATATGCCCCCAATGCCTCCCGGCCAAGGCCTTGTTCATTTCACTCCTGTTTTCGCACCCAGGCCTGGGTCAGTGGGATTGAACATGGATATTGGCCAGGGCAAGCTGAGGGGGAGGCTGGTCAGCGGTCAGTTCAGGGTCCTTCCCCTAAGATTCGGCCCAGAAACACATCCAGCCAATCGTGCAGGCCCCCTCGGCCCCCGATCACCACCCCTAGTATAGGAAATGCTTTTAAGAAAGTTGAGGTGGGGGAACCCGAGAGCCCTGGACTGGCTGGGGGTGAGGTGGCCCGCCGCTGGCTGCTCGAAGAGGGGGACTCGGCTCCTGCCCCTCTGACCCGAAGCTGCAGAGCCTCCAGCACGGCAGCCGGAGCCTCCATAAAAGAATAAGGATCACATTCCTCACTTTTTAAGTCGCACAAAAGCTGTATGCATAATTAATGTGCAATAAATGTGAGCGGCTGGAAATTAACTACATGGAAAAAATATATACTTAATTGTAAAAATTAATTTTGCCTTTATTCTTTTTCTTTCTTTCTCTCTCCCCCTTCCCCTGTTATATTCTTGGAGCTTGTTATATTCTTGGAGCCCTTCAGATCTGGCTGGGGATCATCTTCTGGAAGACTGGCCCGCCGACCTCTTGCCAGGGAGCCGAGGACAAGATTAGTTTTAAGCCTCAGCCTAGTCAGTTGCTTTCAACAGAGGGTCCGAGAGCGCCCGTGAGCCAGGCCAGGTGTTGCTGTGTCGCACAGAGGAATCTTGTAATCATCCCCTGGGACCTTCCTCGGGGGCCTCTGTACCTGATTTTAAAGGCTCTGGTACATGCAGTTTTGAAGCTGCCTTTGGAAACTTGGAGAGAAACCTCATTGTGGTGCTTAAAATTCCTAAACATGAATTTGGTGGTTAAAAAGCCGAAGGCCTAAATACATTTACATATATTCAAACAAGTATTTTAAGCAATCATCTCTAAGGCTCCCTTTCTTGTTTTTCTTCTACTTCTTTACAAGGACAAGACTTTTTCTAAGTAGCGAAATTTCCCAGTGGAAAAATGTATTGGCATGTTCTCATTGTCACATCTCTTAATAAAACCTGAGGATGCAACTTGAGAAATGACCCATCCACTTGAAAGAATTTTTAAAAAATTATTTTTTGAGAATAAAACACTCTATTAATGGATACTTTATGATTTATTGCACGCATACAACAACAACAATAACCTAAAATATCACGTCGCTGGAAATAAATCACCGCCGATCCTATCTTCTTTGATGCCAGCTGCTTCCCTGTCTCTGCCGTCTTTCCCAGCCCTTGTCTATATTGGCAGATAATTTTAAAAGAGGCAGAAGAATCAAGAGATGGAACCCAGAGTCGTCTCAGCGGTTTGGGCAAGAATCATGTTTTCAGAACATCCTAGTTTGTCTTGGGCAGTTCGTAGCTAATCCTTCTGAAGACTGCAAACCACAAGTAACTCAGGGTGTCTCTGAGTCACTCTGTTACCGGATTAATTTACAGCAAGAAAAGAGACCATCAATACGGTCATTTGTGTTTTCTGCCACCTCTGCCCAAGTACCTGGTCTTGTTTAAGATGAACTGCTCTTGTCTGAGAGCTGTCCGGTCATTGGGGACCAGGGGCAAGCCGTAAATAACCAGATCTATGGCTATGGATCATCTTTGGCTAGCTGTCCGGCCCGGCTGGTTCTCCCGTAGCCCAGCTGGCAGATGTGGCTGCCTTCGTGAACAGGTGGCCCACAGGGGCCGTGAATGGGCAGTGGGCTGGGCTGGCCGGCAGGCTTCTGCAACAGCCTTTCAGGACCAGCCTGGTTCCAGCCCGACCCCCTCACCAGCCCCCCAACCTCCTGGCCAGGCCCGGCCACAGACCTTTGCATCAAACAGCTTCTGACACTAAAAATCAAGGTCTGTCAGCCGTTGTCATAGGAATGCAATATCCTCTGGAGGTTCCCTTATTAAAAACCAAGTCTCGCTGCTGCTGCCCAGGATAGATTTCTATTCCATTTGTATTGATCACCGGGAAATGTCTCATTCTCTAGTTGACAAATATGGCCAGCAGGGAGTTAGTTAGCATTTAGTGGGAAACACTTGTTTCCACAGTGATTTGGGGGACCCTGGGCTTGAGCTGCGGTGCTATTCACAGGGTCAGGGTGAGGAATCTCTAGCTATGATGTAGAATTACAGATATGGAAGGTACATTCTTGCAGAACAGCAGAGCCCGCCAGGGGCTTCAGAAATCATCTAATGAGCCGCTTTGTTTTACACTCGGGGTTAAGGAACTCGACTTACCCAGGGTCTCAGAGGCAGTGGCACCTCTAGGAATTTATCCTACAGATAATACCCACCGGGGTGTGCAAAAGATACCCATCACGGCACTGTTTATAAGGCCAAAGATGTGAAATCACCTACCAAATGCCCATCACAGTAGATTCAGTAAGCAATGATGGTTTCAGGCAGAATCATGTGAAATCTCCATCTTTTGCTGGTCAAAAATGGTTGAATATGGACAGTCCCATAGGGGTCAGTCTGCTCCTTCTATTGAATGGAATGACATGTAGTCTTCAAAGGATCGAGATGGAGAACTCTCCCAAGATATATTATTAAATGAGATCAGCAAGCTGCAGAGCAGCATACCTGTTAGGCTCCTTATCTGTTTTTACAAAAAGAGCCACGTGCACACTGGCTGGTATCGGCCTCCACTCTGAAAGGAGAGACAAATCATCTATGGCGGCTGCCTTGGGGAGGGGAGCAGGCCGCTGAGGTGGGTATGACGGGAGGCTGACTTTTCACTTTGCAGCTTGTGTACCTTCCAAATGTTATACTAGGTCTGTACGTGGCAGATACGACATACATTAAAATGTAAAACAAAGATCCAGATTTCAGTAGAGTCTTCATTACTAGGGGTTAAATGCTCAGCAGACCCTGTGGTCTGAGAATTCTGGGCTTTGAGTCATTTCATCTCACGGAGCCTCAGTTTTCTCATCTGTCAAGTGGGGGTAATGATAGTGTTGACTTTTTAGAGTGGAAGTGACAGTTTCCTTGAGACATGAATGAAAGGCTCAGCATTGTGGCACAAAGTAAATGTTACATGTTATTATAAGTGACACATAAATCATAACATACACACATGCATGCACATAAATCCTTGTATTGACCCGTTTGGCATTTTGGTTTTCTTGGAAGAGTCTTAAAAATAGCTGTGTGTGTTCAGAGCCGGGACTGAGATTTCTGAATGTTACGTCTGCTAGGGAAAGATTTTGCAGCTGCAGTGATGGCTGCCCACGCTGAATTGACAGGGTGGGTCTGATGATTTTTTTTCTGAATCAGTAAATGGTCTTCCGCATCTCTATGTACACAGGCAGGTGAACTAATAGAATTAAGCTTATTGGTTTAATTCCTCTGGGCCCTGTTGGTGAGTGGAGAGCAGCTGGATGAATATTTTAATTAAGCTCCGACACCCAGAAGTCAAAGTCCCAGAGTGGTCCCATTGGGCAAGGTCTCTCGGTTTGGGGTTTAATCAAGTTCGGCTTCAGAGTTCAAATTTCTTCCTGGACAGAAATATGTCATTAGGCGTCCAAGATTTCCACTGGAAAAAAAAATACAACTTGACTATATTTTCTCTAGAGAATGACACCATGATTCGATTAGCCCCTCTTTCCTTGACATTTTGCCCACTTTATTAACTTCTGCTTTGCTTTTAAGCAGGCAACTACTGTTTTACTTCCCCGAAGAAGCTCATAATATTATAATTCAAGTGTCAGGACAGATTAGGTTAAACGAACTGTGTAATTCCCGAAGGAAAACAAACTTCAAAACGGACGAGGTTTGCCTTGTCACATGTCATGGACCGCATTAGCGGGGAACGGCGATTCTATCACCTAATGTGCTAACGTTGGCTCAAGTGTTCCCCACTCTGCAAGGTGAGAAATTACTTAGCTAACAAAACATTTAGTTTTCCCCTCTTTGCATTCTTTCTTTATGAGATCCTGAATGTGACATTTTCACCAAAAAATCTGTGCTTATTTGTGAAAAATGTATATTAAAACCAAACCCATCAAATGGAAAGAAATCACAGATGGTTTTATTCACAAGCAGTAGAATTAATGGCCTCTCTTCTCTTTATAAATATTAGAAGCAGATGAGTTCATTACGATTTCACCCTAATAAAGAAAACCTGCTTGATTTTGACAAGACATCGACTTATCTAATACATCTACTAAATAACAAAGCTACTTCCCGCCCGTAAAACACGGCTCGAAAACACCAGCTTTACCTGGACTGCTTCTAAATTAATGAAAAACACTCCAATTCAAAGACAGCAAAAGAAGTGGGGTGCGGGGGGTGGAATTCAAGAGATTTTTTGAAAATGCGACTGATTTTTGAAAAGAGAGGATTTTGAAATGTTTACTTTGTCGTGGTCTGAAATTTTTACATCTTTCAACAAAGCGAGCAGAGAAGTGAAACCATCTGAAAGGGCTTTTGAAAAGAGAGATTCAGCACAAGTTGGACAAAGCTGCGGTTCCTTTATCTCGGTCAATCTGTGTACATCGTGCGGGGGAGGCCGGCCCCTGGTCCCACTCCTCCCCAGCGCCGCAGCCTTAGCCACGGCTTCAAAGCGCAGTTGGCCGGGCGTCCTGGGAGGGAATCAGACACCTCGCCCCGGGACCCCTTGGCCGGATGGCTCCTATTCCTGAGCTCTGCAGCCTGACGTGGTCATCTCCTTGGTCATGGGAGTCTGGGGTGTTTCTGTTTGTGCTGCTTTCAGCACTTGTTAAGAAGTAGGAGGCTTCATATGAAACTGCAAAAGATGATTTTTTCTCCCCAGAGCCACGGCAGCTGGGGGCCTCAGCTTATCCATCATTGCAAAGATCGCTCTGAGAAATGGAATGAGTCAGCCCTGCCCAGAGGGGAGAAAAATGAACCATGCATAGAGCCTCTGTCCCGGACCCTTCTTGGCTGGGCTCCCGTGGAAGGGCGTGGGATCCTTAGTCTGAAAGCTGCCCAGGGAGCCTTTGGGGAGGGAACCCACGAGGTTTAAGAAAAATGGCACACCAGTGTGGCTTTGATTCTACACTTTCTGATTCTACACGTCAGGACTCTCAACCCGGATTCCGTCCCACACTTCCCCACCCCAAGACGAACAGGGGGCTTACACCACAGAGATCAGGCACCTGCACTCAAGTGTCATGACTGGGGGGCGGGAGGGGCAGCCAAAGCTGAAACACTGTTTCTAAGCAGCTCCTTAAAAGTGAACCAAGCCCGGTACCTCCGCATTGTCCCAGGAACCTGCCTCTTTTCTTGCTGTTCTGTGTTCTCTTCCTCCAAGTGAGGGGCTGTTAATTCTCTGACAGGCCCAGGTGGGGTTCCGAGTCCTGAGATCATCTGAGTCCTTCCTTCATGCCTCAGTTTCACATGTAGCCAACTTCTGGGGAGATTTTTGAGGAAGCAAGTTTGAGCCAAGACCCCATGATTGAAATTCTCCAATAAATCCCTCCCAGCTGAGCCCTAAGGGGCTATAGCTGCTTCAGCAAGCAGGGACGGCAGGAAGGCAAAGGCGGGGGTGGTGGTGTCGCAGACTTCAAACAGGACCTGGGATGGTGGGGGTGGCGGGGGATTGTGCCGGGAGAGGAGGCCACCGAGCCAGTGCTCAGAGTTAATGAAAGAACCTACATGGAGTCACCGCACGCACAGCTCTCTCCCTAGGCAAGCATGGCACCTCAGGTTCTTTGCAGAGATGGCCTCTCATTTAGGGGCAAGTCTGGAAGAGTAGGAGACTCGAACCACATTCAGGATGACTGTTTGCGGCGCTCTGGAAGACCCCAGCCTGGGGCGGGGCTGGGGAACTATGCCCTCCCACCAGGAGTTCTGAGGGAGCTGAGGTTGTGTTCAAAAGCCTCATCAAACATCAAGGCTCAGTTGTCTTTAGGACTGAACCCATCACCTGGTTGACAGGGGCCATAAACACCCCCATTTTACAGATTAGGAAAGTGAGGCTCAGAGAGGCAAAGTCACCGGCTCGAGGGCGTACGGTGGTGTGGGGGATCCAGGTTGGAATTCATATCCTCTAGCTTACACCACTGGCTAGAGATGGGGACTCAGGCAAAGGCCAGCGGAGGACACTTGGCCCTGAGTGCATGGCCCTCACCTCAGCCCTGCCCCCTCCACTGTCCATGACATTCAATCAGGTGCTGGTGATGTGTGGCCCAGCAGTTGGGGCAAGGCCTCCCCAGCTTCCCGGCGGCAAATGGTTCTCATTTGAAAGGGAGGTTATAAAAACACATGCCCAAAGACACTGTCAGGGAACTGAGGATTAATCTCATTTCAGTCAAAGACCATTTCAAATATTTTTCAGGGGGGGATTGGGGGCGGCACAGCCCAGGCTCGGAAGGAAGTCAGGGTTCCTGGCGTGCCCCTCAGGTCGGCGGGTTTGAAGGTGGCTGAGATGCCGGCTGGTGGGGGCCAGGGTTCAGAGTCTGATGGAGGAATGTGGCTTTGCTCCACGAGTCCCCAAGGCTGGCTTTGCGGGAGGGCTACGTTCTGGCGTGGATGCTCACACTTCGTTCAATATCTTGGCTGTGTTTCACGGTAGTTTAAGTTGCCAAAAGGAAGGGAAGGATTAGGCGCGTGGGACATTTTCATTTTCTGGATGGTATCAAAAAGCCGAGTGTTTTTGTTGGGTGACTCAACCAGAGCGAGCCCTTCAGGCAGCCGGGGAGGGGCACTGCCACCAAGCCTCCTGCACAGACACTTGTGGCTGCACAGCCAGGGACCAGAGGGAGCACCCAATCTAGGCCACCAGCTCCCAAACTGGGGGGCCTGGGTCCCTAAATGACAACCTGTGGGATTTGGGCACAGGCTTGGGACTGCAGGCAGGGCCTCTGCTGAGCAGGCATAACCCCAATAGCTCCATTTACCGAGAGCTTGGGGGGTACCCAGCAGCGTGGGTCAAGCTTATCATATTATCCAATGGCCCTGTGAGGGGAGGGCTTTTCTTTTCTTTCTTTTATTTTTCTTGAGATGGAGGGGAGTTTCGCTCTTGTTGCCCAGGCTGAAGTGCAATGGCATGATCTTAGCCTACCGCAACCCCACTCTACCTCCTGGGTTCAAGTGATTCTCCTACCTCAGCTTCCCAAGTAGCTGGGATTACAGGAGCTGCAATGATGCCTGGCTAATTTTGTATTTTTAATAGAGATGGGTTTCCTCCATGTTGGTCAGGCTGGTCTTGAACTCCCGACCTCGGGTGATCTGCCTGCCTCGGCCTCCCAAAGTCCTGGGATTACAGGCATGAGCCACTGCGTCTGGCCGAGGGCAGGACTTTCCTTATCCACATTTTACAGCGGGGAAAACAGGCTCAGGGACGGGCGCAGGTGGCTTGCCTAAGGCCTGGAAGCTGGGCACTGGTGATACATCTCCTTTGAACTTTCTCAACAACCTTTTAAAGGAGGGGCTGTTGATCTCCCCATTTTCCGGATGCGAATGTTGAGGCACCTGATGTGACTTGCCCAAGCCCACCCTTTAAGGGTGGGTGGAGCTGGGGGCTTGCTCGGGCCCCTCCAGCCTACCCGCATTCCCGAGCAAGGCTAGCGTGGCTGGGCCCGGCCCGCCGTCCATGGGGGCCACCCCGGGTCCAGGCGGTCCGGACGCCGCAGTGGGTGGGACCCCGGGGGAGGGGCGCGGCGGGGACTCGCGCGGAGGGCTAGCCTCCTTTCAAATACACCTCCGCGGCGCGGGGCCGAAGGATTGATTTTCTGCTAGTCCGCGGAGCTCCGCCTAGTGTGTGCCGGGGTCCGAGCATCCCCAGCGCGCGTCCGCGGCGTTCCCGCAGGGCCCACTGGGGCCCGGGGAGCCGAGCGCCCCCGCGCGGCCGGACAGCGTGTGAATCCGTGTCTGAGGGCGGGGTCGGGGTGGGCAGCACGGTGGGAGGGGCCTCGCGAGGGACGGCCCTGGACAACCACCCTGCCCCGCAACCTGGAATGGGAGGAGGTGCCAGGACCCTCGTGTTCCAGGGGAGAAAGCAGGCCAGAGACCTCCTGGGACCCTCTCGCTGGGCAATGGGACTCCAAGAGGTTTTGCCTCGCTGCGAAGTGCCTCTTCCTGGGCCTGCAGGTGGTCTCAGCCCCTGCCAGGACCCACCCGAGGGAGTGCCCCCCAGTCAGTGAGGTGGGGTGCTGGAGGCCCCAGTAGGGAGCTCTCTTGAGAGACTGGGGCAGGTGCTTAGCCTGGAAGCAGATTCCAAGCAAGGCGTGCTCCCGAGTCACACTGCACAACGCCAGGGGAAGGGTCGGGGGAGGCAGGTCACATGACCTTAGACTCTAAGTCCCCCTTCCTGCCTGTGGAGCCTGGTGGGGCTTCCCCATGGTACGGTGCCTTCTGCTGCACACACACCCCACAACGCCCCAGGCCAAGCACGTAAAGGATTTGCTCAATTCCTCCTCCAGAAAGCCTGGGTGGCTGCTGGCTGCTTTTATCCCCAAGCCCCTGTCAGGTGGAGGGAGGTGACTAAGCTGGGCCCTGAATTGGGCCTGTCTGACCTCATGAGCTGTCCTCACCTTAACCCCACAGGATAGGACACCTCCTTCCAGGTACGCATAATCGAGGCCATGCTCAGGAATGGCACTGGAGTTGGACGTGCCTGGGCTGGAGGCCCTGAGCTGCCCGTCTGGCTTCTGAGCACTCTCTGGAGCCTCAGTTTCCTCATCTGCTAAATGGGGCATCCCTAACTGCAGGACTGTGGAGATAACACACACAAGGCCACCCCTGCTCTCCTCCATAAATGTTTGCTGATGCCCAGTAGCAATGAAATACTCCCTTTGGCATGTGCTTACCTTCCCCAGGAAACGAAGCCCAGCCCATCCCCGCTCTAGAGTTCAGGATGTACCTTGCCTCCTCCAGAAACCCTTCCTCACTCATCTTCCAGGGAAGGTACTGGCAGGAGAAAAAGCCAAACTTTTTTTAAAAAAAGGTTTGGGAGGATAGGCAAAGATTCTTAAACAAGACACAGAAAGCACTGATCATAAAGGAAAAGATTGAAAATTGGACTATGTTTATTAATAACTTTGGTTCATTGAAACATACCATTAGGGGCTGGGTGTGGTGGCTCACACCTGTAATCTCAGAACTTTAGGAGGCTGAGGAGGGCAGATCACTGAAGGTCAGGGGTTCGAGACCAGCCTGGCTAACATGGTGAAACCCTGTCGCTACTAAAAATACAAAAATTAGCCAGGTGCGGTAGCATACACCTGTAATCCCAGCTACTCAGGAGGCTGAGGGAGGAGAATCACTTGAGCCTAGGAGGCAGAGGTTGCAGTGAGCCGAGATTGTGCCACTGTACTCCAGCCTGGGTGACAGAGTCAGACTGTCTCAAAAAATCAAAACCAAACCAAACCAAAACATCAAGAAGGTGAAAAGGCAAGCCACAGCCCAGATATTTGCACGCTTACATGGAAAGGACTCACTTTTAGAATACATAAAGAATATAAGGAATAAAGCAAGGAAGAGACAGACACCCGATAGAAAAAAGGGCGAAAGACTTACCAGGTCTTCACAAAGGAAGGCTTACAGATGACCAGCAAGCACAAGAACAATTACCCGACCTCAATAGTCAACAGGGGCATGCAAATTTCAATTGCAATGAAATACAGTTTCACATCTGCTAACACTGCTCATTGTAAAGTTGGACATTATCCAATTTTGTTAAGGATGTGGAATAGCTGGAACTGTCATTGCTGGGGTGAGTGTAAATGGCTGCAACCATTTACTTTTGAAGACTATTTGGAAATATTTACTAATTCTGCAAATATGCCTCCTCTGTGATCCAGGAATTCCACCCCTAGGTATATTTCCCACAGCAGCGTGTACATACATCCGTATACGAGCCACCTTCCCCGACCCCATCCATCATCGTAATTCAGGGTCAGTGCCACACTGCATAACTTTAAACACAAGTTTAGAACCATTGTAGATTCACAGAAAAATCTGACGTCCATAAATTCCACATCCAGTTTCCCCAGTGGTGAGTGCCTTACAGTAGCTCGTAGTGTCTGTAGCTGGAAGAGTGAATCCCCATTGTACTATTTTCTTTTTTCAAAATGTTTAACTACTGGGCACTTTTATTCTTCCATAAGCATTTTTAGCATTTTAGAATAACTTGGTCAAGTCTCCCCACAAATCTTGCTTATTTTTAGAAAATAATGTGATTTTTTTATTATGATTTTCTTAAATTGTGATTTGAGCTGAATATAGTAATTTGAGAAAAACTGGCATCTTCACATGAATTCAATGAATAACATGCAGCGACTTTGTGCCAAACACTGCCCTATTCATACAGGTATACATGAAGAACAAGGGTTCATCTTAGGGCACTTAGAATGTTCTAGTGGAAAGGGCTCTTGGAATGTTAAGCTGCTCCAACCATAAACACAGGAT